CCCAAGCTCATGCATGTCCGTTGAGTTTCATGTTAATGGGATCGTTGATTTTGCACTCAGGACGAATTAGTCAAACTAGAATATTAAAAAAAAAAAAACATGCGCGCCCAATAGAATCTTCTACTAATAATTACTCTCTCTGTTTTTATTTGTAGAAGAAAGTAAAACTTTTTACTTATTTTTTATATAAACAAAATTACTTATTTCAATAAATATTTATTATATATTTTTTTAAATTATTTTTCATAATTTATATCAATAAAAAATAATTAATATATATTTATGTTGATAAATGTAGAGCATTTTAATCTAGGTTTTTTATCTTCAGATATAATTATTATATTTAACTAACTTTTTTAAATTATATGATATAATTTTTTATATATATAAAAGAAAAAGGGAGCATTGGTTAGAAGAATTTTGTTGAGATAGAAGCAAGGTGCGTCATTAATAAAGGCCAAGCAACTTAAATGAAGGTGTCAATGGCAATATTGATACGTAGACGTAGATAGGTTGGGGCAGCATTTATTTTGGATTCAACCAAACCTAAAGATGGAGTCGGCTGTAAGAGGCAGCTTCATTAATTGATGACAAAACTCACAATAAATGATTTAGTACCTGTTTCGATTTGAATATAATAAATTATAAAAAATAATTAATTAAATAATAAATTTTAATTATAATTAATTATATTATAACATAATTTATTTAGATACTATTTTTTTAAAATTAATTTTAATAAAATTAAAAATATTTAAATAATTTAATTAAAATTAATTTTAACTATATAAATTACTATATAATTTAATTTTTAAATATCAAACATTAATTTTTTGAGGATACAAAGTTTAAATTTTATTAAGAAAAAAAAGAGAAAAGAAAATAGTTTGATTTTATTTTTATTAAATTATATGCTTTATTTATAATTTTTTCATGAGCTTTTTTTTATAATTTTTTTCAATATTTTTTGATAAATTTTTCTATAAAAGCTTGGATTGGCAGCTTTTAAAAAAAATTAATTTTTACCCCCACCAATCGAATAACCAAAAAACCTGATGTTTGGATAATTGAAGCCAAAATCAATTTTTTTCTCAAAAAATTAATTAATATGATTATCCGAATACACATTTAGTTATTTCTTTCCTTAGTCTGCGTTCCCCTTCCTTTTTAACTATCTGAACTGAAAATTTTTAAATTAAAATATTATTATAATTAATCTTTTGCAGGAAAAGAAATTGAATTTGTCTCATCAAAATAAGTTGTGCTTTTTGAGGAGAAATTTAATAAAAACGACGTAAATGCTTTTTTGGAAATTGTTGTTTTCCAAAAAATAAATAAATAAATAAATGACCACACGGAAGCTCTGCTTTTGTGTGTGTGAGAGAGAGAGAGGCCGAACGGGGGGGTATCTTCTGCTATATAGGAAGGAGTACTTACCTACCTCTCTCTGTATATATTATAATTATAATATAAAAATAATAATAATAAAAAAGAAAATAACATCCAAGGATTGCCGAGGAAAATTAATACCAATCAAGAATCAATTATTTTCAAAATTTCATTGCAATCCTTTGGTCCTCAACTAATATTAATTTTTAAAATTAAAAGACTAAAATGCCCCTCAAGTTATAAAAAAAAAAAAGAAATCCTACTGTTGTTGGCCGTCGGACCATCGCTGTCATCGGAGCCCCTACTGTTGGCGATGTTGTTGGCAGCCGATCACTGAAGCTCCAAGACCGATAACATTTTATTTCAAAAGTAATTGGTTTAAATAGCTAAAAGAAAGTTTGATCTCATAGTCCTTGATCACTTAAAAAACTTGATGGCCACGAAGCCATCAAGCTCTTTAATCATATATAATAAAAACAATAATAGATCAAATTTCTAACCACTCTCGTGTAATAATATAATAGTGTATTCTTAATTTTTGAATAGAAATTATTATTTTACAAATGTATTTGTTAATTTAACATAGACAATTACAAATCAGGAGATTTAAAACTTCTCGCATTTTACTTATTAAATGTTCAAATGTATTGTTATTAATTACAAATAGATTGTTGTTAAAATCTAAACGAATACTTTTTGATGAATGACTAACACGTACAATTAAGCTTTACTTATCAATTTTTTAAACTTGTTAAAACTAAAATAGATTGTTGTCAATTTTGAATGAAATATTGCTATTTTACAAATGTAACTTATTAATCTGACATGAATGATTATAAATTAAGAGCTTTAAAACTTTATGCATTTTATTTGTTAAACGTTCAAATGTATTGTTATTAATTATGAATAGGTTATCGTCAAAATCCAAATGGATACTTGTTAATGAACGACTAACACATACAATTAAGCCATTCCTATCAATTGACAACTAAGCCCTTGGAAATTAACAACAATTTATTTTAATGTTAACAAGTTAGAAAAACTGATAGAAACGACTTAGTTGTATGTCTTAGTTATTTATCAACAAGTATCCGTTTGAGTTTTAATAACAATCTATTTGTAATTAATAACAATACATTTGAACTTTTAATAAGTCAAATGCGTGAAGTTTTAAAACTTTTAATTTATAATTGTTCATGTCAGATTAACAAGTAACATTTATAAAATAACAAGTTCTATTCAGAAATTAACAACACATCGTCATGTTATGACATAGAAGTGGTTAAAACTTGTTGTTAATTGTATGTGTTAATCTTTCATCAATGAGTATATATTTAGGTTTTGACAACAATTAATTTAAAATTAACAAAAATCTATTTTGATTTTAACAAATTAAAAAAATTAATAGGAAAGGGTTTAGTTGTACGTGTTAGTCATTCATTAATAACAATCTGTTTAGGTTTTAATAATAATCTATTCGTGATTAACAACAATATATTTAAAATTTTAATAAATTAAATGCATGAAGTTTTAAAGCTCCCAATTTGTAATTGTTCATGTCAAATTAACAAATAACATTTGTAAAATAAAAAATTTTGTTCAAAAATTAACAACATACTGTTATGTTGTGACACAGAAGTGATTAAAAGCTTGATTTACTACTAATAATTTTTTTTTGCTATATATGATTAAAGAGCTTGGTGGCCACTACGCCACCAAGCTTTTTAAGTGGCTAAGAATTATGAGATCAAATTTTTCCTTAGTCATCTAAACTAATTACTTTTAAAATAAAATATCATTGGCACTAGAGCTCTAGTGACCAACTGCTGGTAGCAGAGGCTCCAATGACCTTGTTGGTGACAATGGGGTTTCGCTTCTTTCTTTTCTTTTCTTTTTTATAACTCGAGGGATATTTTAGATTTTTGACTTTTAAAGTCAATACCAGTCAATGACTAAAGGATTGCAATATAATTTTGAAGTTAATTGGTCTTTGATTAATATTAATTTTTCTCAGTTGTACTTAAAGCTATTTTCTCATAATAAAAAATTGGATTACCTAGTTCATTTGCTAATTTGTTATGAGTTATGACTTTTTTTTAGAAAAACTATCTAACTAGGTATATTTAAACAATATCATATGAAATCTAACCGGGGGTAACTTTTCTAAAAATATCTTCCATGCATACACAAACTCAAACTTTGAAACCTTGTGTTTAAATAGTGATAGCTACTTTTTACTGTGATCAAAACCAATAGTAATTAGTAATGACATTTTAATACACACAAAACAATATCAATTGTACCTAAATAATTTTGACAGCCTAACGCTCCGCTACTGGTTCTATGATAGTAAACAATTAGCATGAGAATACAGACAGTTAGTTAAATAATTCTGTTGTTGGCCCCTCGGGACACCGATAAAATGATTATATTTTTGAAAATAATAGGGAGAATTATATTGAATCTCACACACAAAAATTAATTACTATAAGATCCATTGATAAATAAACTAAGGTCATTAACAATACAATAAGATTTGTATGTAATTTTCTCAAAATTATATATAATACTTCTTATTCTTTTTATAAGTCACTTATAATTAACATATCAAAATCAATGTTAGTTAGTTGAAATAATAAAATTATTTTAAAAATAAATTATTTTTTCATTTTTTCCCTAATTAAAAAAAGGAGTATGTAAGAAGAATTTTATTGAAAATTAAAATATTGTAATTTTTTTTAGAATTTGTCAGAGGCAATTTTGGAATTGTATATTATATTATAAAAACTAAGAGAAAATGACTTATACGAAAGATTAAGAAAACTTTCTACAAAGTAATTTATAAAAAGAATTGGATGGACGAAATTTTACTCGTTGTTGCTGATAAAAGATAAAAAAGGGAGTATCAAATGAGGTTTAATAAAATTTAATCAAATAATATAATTATCTTGTTTTTGCTGTTGTGTGGTTCGATCAAATGTAAGACAGTTACTCTAGACCTGATTGCCCGAGGCAGAATCATTAATAGCATTGCCGTATCTTAATCTCGATGACGTATTGACATAACTGATTTAACTATTCCCTCTCTTCATCCCTTCATCTCCACAAATCACATAGTGATGCTGATATTTTATATAAGCCCCAAGCACAAAACGTGAATAAATTGTAAATAGTTCTCATCGATTTCAAGCATTTCGAGTTTTATTAAACTATTTCAGCATTAAATATTAATATTCATGTAATCATATGCATGTTCATGAATCTTAAATCGTTTTCTCGTGTCAGCACTTCTGTGAAAATAAACCAGAGAAACAGAGAGCTTGTCTTCCCTGACGTGTCCGAGGCACATCTGAGCCATACCGATCACCTTCCAAGGACAAAAACTCGAGCTTTATTAATCAAACTGATAACCGAAAATACCCCATCAGCTTCTCTACCCTCCATTGCCTAAGCTTCATTCGAACACGCTGATACTGAAGGAGAGTTAAAACTTAAAACTGACGATGAAGATGCAAAATAATACAAGAGATGGAAACGGAATGCTTCAGATGAATATGATATCACAAGGACCTTACAACTACTGCTTGAATCCTCTTGTTTTAAAAACACGCTTGCAGTACTTGGCCTCCCACACCAGAACTTGTTCTTTAAACTTAAGGCATGGAATTTTACAACGCTAAGGAGCTGAAACTCGTCGCCTTACTTGCTCTCTATGTTTTTCTAATCTCTCCGGCGGGTAAGAAATGAATATGCTGTCCTGAGAATTCAGAATACGGTGATTGTCGTGGATTCATCTTAATTTGTTGTTATTCTTGTGCTTGCAGTGGCATATGATCCGTTGGATCCGACTGGGAACGTGACAATAAGATGGGATATCATGTCCTGGACTTCAGATGGATATTTGGTAACTTCCAAATTATGATCATTCTGATAAATAATGAAATTATGAAGCACAAATCTTCCAAATATAGGATTTATTTTATTGGATTCCCGCCCGACACTCACCTGAACACAAACGCAATGTTTATTGTGCCATGCGGTTCATTTTGGTGTTGTGTCCTATACATCCTTCTTAGTAAGAAGTTAATTCCTAATAGCATATGAGGATCACAGATTTGAAACGAGAACATCTTTTAAGGTTCTCAAATCTTAATTTTTACGCTGAATTTCAAAAATAGCATATCATTCACCCAATAAGGTTCTAGTTATTCTCAACTGAGAAATGTTTGCTTGAATCTTCGTCAGGCCACAGTGACAGTATTCAACTTTCAGTTATACCGAAATATCATGAACCCAGGGTGGTCATTAGGGTGGACATGGGCGAAAAAAGAGATCATATGGACAATGGTGGGAGCACAGGCTACAGAACAAGGAGACTGCTCCAAGTTCAAGTTAAAAATTCCACATAGCTGCAAGAGGAATCCTCAAGTGGTGGATTTGCTTCCAGGAGCTCCTTACAATATGCAGTATCAAAACTGCTGTAAAGGGGGTGTCTTAACATCTTGGGGACAGGAACCTACGGCTGCGTTCTCGGCTTTTCAGATTGCTGTTGGCCAATCTGGCACTTCCAACAAGACTGTGAAACTCCCTAAGAACTTCAAGTTTCTAGGACCAGGACCAGGATACTCCTGTGGCCCTGCCAAGGTTGTTCCATCCACTGTCATCCTCACAGATGATCTTAGGCGCAAAACTCAAGCACTGAGTAAGCATATGTTCATCCAATGCCTGCTTCTACTTGTGATGAAGGATCATCATATTACATAGTATTATGATAAATTTAGAAAATTATTGTATTTTTTTGTCATTGATGTTTCTTGTTCATGGTTTCAATGCAGTGTCCTGGAATGTGACATGTACCTACTCCCAATTTCTTGCCTCCAAGAACCCAAGTTGCTGTGTTTCATTCTCATCTTTCTACAGTGATAAAATCACACCTTGTCCAACTTGTGCTTGTGGTTGTCAGAATAATGATACCTGTGTCCCGTAAGTCACCGTCAAGCTTCATTTAGTCTTTGCAATCTATGAAGCATGAACACACGATGCGATACAACAAGAATGTTCAGCATGTAGTATAATCTCTTTCCATTTAAAATTATTTTGAAAACGATAAAATATTCTACTTTTGAAGTGAATGTGCTTCAAAGCAGCCTGAAGAGCTCCAAACATGCTTTACTTGGTTGACATTGGAACTGATTTTCCCTTGTTTGTGATGGATATGTAGGAGCGGCTCAAAGATACCACAAGAAGATGAAAAGAAAACTCCCAAGAAGGATAACCCACCATTGTTACAATGCACACACCACATGTGCCGTGTCAGGGTGCATTGGCATGTGAAGTTCAACTATCATGACTATTGGAGAGCCAAGATCGCAATCATCAACTTCGACTATCGAAATAACTATACTCAGTGGACTCTTGTTGCACAGCATCCCAACCTCAACAATGTCACCCAAGTCTTCAGCTTTGAATACAAGCCCGTTCTTCCTTATGAATCCATAAGTAAAATTTTTAAAAATTGTTTTCTTGTGCTAAAGCCCCATGAAGAGGTTTCTGTAACCAAGTTCATGTTGACTATGTAATAATGCAGATGACACAGGCATGTTCTACGGCTTGAAATACTACAATGACATGTTGATGCAAGCTGGGCCTCTGGGGAATGTTCAGTCTGAGGTTCTCATGAAGAAGGACAAGAACACTTTCACGCTCAAGCAAGGATGGGCATTTCCCAGGAAGGTCTACTTCAATGGTGACGAGTGCATGCTGCCACCTCCAGACTCGTATCCTACCTTGCCAAATTCTGCTAATAAACTATTAACAAGTGTCTCATTCATGGCAGTCTATGTGATTTTTACCATATTTTTTCATATAGTGATGACTGTAGTACATTGACGCAGTAGCGTGGGACAACTTAGCTGGGAAATATGTAAGACGGACGGAGAACAAACGGATTTATCTGATATATAAGCTAGAATCTCCTAAGATTTTGAGTTACACGCGATAAAGTATCTCTGCCAAGTGGTTTTTTGCACAAGTTCTACTTGAATTTTACATTACGATGCTAACAATCTACATTAAATAATACTAATGCTAACACCAATACTAATGATTCGATTATACAGAGGAAAAGCTACGAATATGAACGTGGAAGTAACAGAACTATCCTACGTCACTTTCGACTTTTTCAGTTGCAGCTTCAGTGCATTCTTGGCAAATCTATTTGCCTTCAGTTCTGATAATCAGGAGCACATGAGTTTTGCAAAATATTCCAGACTAGTGGATCCATATACATGATTCTCTACGCATGAATCGATAAGATCACCAAAGAAGCTATGATAGCTAAGATCGGAGAAAGTGGAGATGAAACAAGTTTTGAACTTGCATTTGGCAACCATGGATAGGAATCTGGAGGTGGCATGACACAATTATCCCCATTGAAATAAATCCTTCGTGGGAAAGCCCATCCCTTATCAAATGTGAAAGTTGACCTGTCCTCCCGAAATAAGAGCTCACTTTGCACATTCCCAAGTGGTCCAGCTGAAGTAAGCAAATCGTTGTAGAATTTCACTCCCCACAACATGCCAGTATCATCTGCAAAATTAGATACCACAACAGTTACACAAGCAACGTATTGCTTCCTCAGCGAGATTGTCTATGACTATAAATATGAACGATGCCACTTACTTAATCCCTCATAAGGTGTTAATGGCTTGTAATTAAAGCTGAAAATTTCGGTTAAATTATCAAAATTTGGATGCTGCACCACAAGGTTCCATTGTGTATAGTTCATCCTGTAATTGAAATTTGTGATTGTGATTTTCACTCTCCAGTACTCTTTATAGTTGACCTTCACATGCCAATGCACTCGAATTGGACACGTATGGCTGGTACACTGGACCAGAGGAGGTGCATTGATAGCTTTTCCCTGGGGCGATACAACTGAAGCTAATATTGGATGATCTGGACTGCAAGATTACATCAGGTAAGGGAAGGGATGACAAAGTGTACAAAGTAACTGCAGAATGGACAATGAAAAGAGTTTCAGAAAAAAAGATTAAGCCAATTACTTACTCAACACAACTACCAGGTTCTGTTCTGTTTCGGCAGCCACAGGCGCAGGTTGGGCAGTTTACTATTGTTTCATTATAGAAAGATGAGAGAGACACGCAACAAGTTGGCGTCTTTTGAGCCAGGAATTGAGAATATGTGCAGGTAATATTCCAGGTCACTGCCACCGAAGATGCAGGCCATGTTAGAAATAATAAAAATTTGCCTTTTCAGCCAAGAACTCTTCTGATCAATGTAAAAAAACACAAACAGTATTTCAGGCTAGTTACATATCATCTGCTTATTTATTTATTGAGAAGTTTATTCCATTTTATCCGCAAAGAGAACAGTGCTATTGGTAAAAATTGGAAATGCAGCGTTCAAATGCTTATATGTGAATATTTATGTTGATTTTTATCAACAAAGTTTAGGACACAAGTATCAATGAATTTCCAAGACAAAGCTCTTTGGAAAGTTACTCACTCAGTGCTTGAGTGGTTCTCCTCTTGTCATTAGTAATAAATTTCGTCTATTTCACTATCTTTGCAGGACCACAAGTACATCCTGGACCTGGTGCTTTAAGGGTGAAATTTTTGGGCAGATTGACGGTTCGGTTAGATGTTCCTGCAGAACCCACACTAAGCTGAAATGAACTTACTGAAGTGGTTGGGTCCTGAGCCCATGAACTAAGTACTCCCCCTCTGCAACAATTTGCAATCTGCTGATTGGAAGGAGTTCCTGGCAGTAAATCCACCACTGTAGGATCCTTCTTACAGCAATGTGGGACGTTCCCTTTGAACCTTGAGCAGTCTCCTTGCTCTGTGGTTTGGCCTCCCATCATGCTCCAAATAACTTCCTTTCTAACCCACCTCCACCCTAATATCCATACTGGAGCTTGAATATGGCGGTACTGTTGAAAGTTGTACATTGAAACAACAGCCTTTATAATCAAGCAAGAAGGTTTCAAAATGTTAGAAAGCCAGAAAAAATATTGGAGATCATAGCAAGCAATATAATATCAACCTACATTACATCAAAGAATAATAACCATGGACCTTGTTGAAAAAAGGGCATTGTTTAGGTTAAACTAGCCAGGTTCTCGTAAATTTCGTGCGGATAAAAATGAGTCGTGTTCACATCTTATGACTAAAACGGTTTACTCAAGATTTTATATTTTATTTTCACACTGAGACTAATTCCTTAGATTACATCAAAGAATAATAACCATGGACCTTGTTGAAAAAAGGGCATTGTTTAGGTTAAACTAGCCAGGTTCTCGTAAATTTCGTGCGGATAAAAATGAGTCGTGTTCACATCTTATGACTAAAACGGTTTACTCAAGATTTTATATTTTATTTTCACACTGAGACTAATTCCTTAGATGTTTTGCTATTAGATTCTCCAATAATAATATGACATGTGCAAAATTAGTATCATGTTGATCTTACTGACTCCTTGTAAAATGTCCTTTTACATGTCGTAGAATTGCTGAAGATCCTTCAAGCCAATTATATAAGGCACCAATGGTTTTCCTGGAACTTTGTCATGTTTAGAAAGTTTTATCACTTACAACGTAGCCATCCGGAGTCCAGCTAATAACATCCCATTTGACTGTTATATTTCCTGTTGGATCAAGTGCGTCATAGGCTTCTGTATGAACGAGAAGGGGAAGTTACAGCAAGAAAAAAAAAAATTGATATCTGTAAGAAAACACTCACAAATCATAAATCATCATATCTCGCTCTTTTTTTTTTTTCTCCAGCAGATATTAACAGAAGCGAAGTTGAAAAACTAAGAAAAGGATCATATCCATTAGTAACATCACATTCTCATCAAGTTGCATAAAGTACCCAGTTAGCTGCCTATGCTTTTCAAGCTTGTCTCTTTATCTTCAAGACGTTGGAGCATATTCTTTTTCATGTGAACTCGAAAGGCAAGAAGACGAAATTTTGAACTAACACCATGTAGTGAGAATTCCACTTAGCAGAACTTGAATGCAAGAAGCAGACAGAAAGTCTCTAACTACAGCAGCCATTTTCAAACTAAGATGAGAATGAAGAAAACAATCCCAACTCCTCTGGCCATGAAATTTCCACCGCCGCATTTACAGCCAGCCAGATTTTGAGAGAATGGAAAAATGGGGAAGTGAGACCCGCTAAGAGCAGAGTAGAAAAAGATGATGACACCATGGGCAAGACAGAGAGAGGGGTTACCATTAGAGGTAAATGTGGAGCAAGTGAGGAGCAAAACGAGCAAGATTGCGCAGCCATGGCGTGAGGCAGCGGATCCAGAGATTGATAACCACAGAGACTCCATTTCTGGGTCCGTAGATATCTGCACGAGCCACGAGGAGGGTGAGTAAGAGATCAAAGGCGAATGGCAGAAGGAGAGATGTGACCTTTCTGCACAATACGAATCAGGGTTTTGATTATGGGTTCAAGGAGCTAAAACTCTGGCTGCACCTAACGTATTCGGCATTGAATATGAAAAAAATTACCCACGCTAACTAACTGACAGTATCGGTGAGAACGGGAAATCACATACTCTGCTCGATTATTCCCTCGCTTCTCTCCTGTATAAAATCAAAACTACATTAAATACATTTAATAATTTATTTTTTTAAACAAAATATAAGTTTTCAAAAGTATTTATTATCTAATACTTTTTTTATTTAAAGATATAAAATATTTTTAATTAGATTTTATCTTTCAATAAATTGATTATCAACTTTTAAATTAATTCTATTTTTTTGTATTTATTCTTATTAAACACTTATAATGAATATAAAATTATTATCAATTGAGATACTTTTTTTAAAAAAAATAATGATTACACATCAAAAGACTAAAAATATCTTATATTTTTTAACATTCAACTTCTTAAAAAATATCTTACATTTTTTAACGAAGGGAGTATATTAAAAAAAAATGAATTAAAATTAATTATAGAGAGAGATAATAATATTAAAATTAATATATTTAATAAAATATTAATCTATCTAAACTATCTTATATTTTAAAATAAAAAATTCTTTGAAAAGTGCCTGGAGTATTATTTATGAACCAAAAAAAAAATACCAAACATATCCCAACATATCCATTTCCTTTGTTATAGCCTTATAGGAAAATTCCTAAGGTTGTGTTTGGTTCGAGAGGAGGGGAGGGAAGGGTTTTTAAGTTACCTTATCTGATTTTATTAGAGTGGGGAGGAGAGAGATTTTTAATGATTTTTTGTTTGGTTTAGGAGGAGAGGGGAGGTAATAATTAAATTATCATTATACTCTTGTACAAAAACATTATTGTTTTTTAACTTTTTGTCACACAAATTAATTTTACATGTAAATTCAAATTGTATAATTTTTTTTCTTAAAAATACCTTAGTCTTATCAATTTTTTTTACTTCTTCACCCCAAATAAATAAATTAAATAATATTATTAAATAATTTTATCAGTAAATTAATCTATATATTAAACAATATTTTATGAAAAAAATCAATGAAATTAATAACAATAGGATCATGAAAATTCTTCTTGCTCTTGCCTCTCTACAACTACAAGCAAGCCCATGTTGATCCCAAATAAACAAAATGACAAACAGGTCCATACTATGCTCAGTAAAATTCACCATTTGTATTTAAAAAAAAAAAACGACAACTTTACATGATAGTACATGAGATTGTGCAGAAACTCAGTAGCGGTGAAGATTATCGCGGTTTACTTTCTGTACGTGTCATAAATCATAATGGGCTCTTCGTTATAAATGAGAACAAATAATGGTAAATTGATATAGGATCAGAATAGTCGAGTGCATCTGATAAAAAAATAATAATTTTAGTCGATTGCATTCCACTACATTAAAATTTATATTGACACGCTAATACTGCAAAAGTAATATTTAAATAAAAGAGATGTTAGTGCACAAGTAAAAGGAATATAAATTACATGTGA